TTGTTATATCGAAGCGCTATTCACGAAAGTACATCAGTGATACCAGCTTTCGCAAACTTTGGGAGAGAATTACGGCTGCCTGCGGACCTGATCAACCGCATATCACCTGATGCCCCACGCAGTGTAACCGATTATGCAAATGACTTGCGGAACAAAATGAATGACATTTATGAGCACATCGGGCCAGCAAATGTCTGAAAAGATGAAAACCCGCTATGACCGCAAAATGAACAACAAAGGGTTCGACGAAGGTTCACTAGTGTGGTTACAAAATCCAGTCCGCAGCAAAGGGAAATCTCGTAAGCTTCAAGCTAAATGGCCCGTACCGGATTGTGACAAGGATCAATGACGTAACCTACCGGATACAAAAAGGTGCAAGAGGTATTCCTAAGATCGTCCATGTGGATCGACTGGCGCGTTATTATGGGCCCAATAATGCTCGGGACAAGCATGTCTTAGGAGGGGACAGTGTTGCGCGCCATAATTAATGCCACTAGCGCCATCTAGTATCAAGTGGCAAAACTAGGAGAGCTTTCTAGAAAATTCCTTGTTAGAAATTTCGATATTCTACTCAAACATTCTAGATGTTTTCAGTAGAAAAGATCCTATATAAAGTCGATAAAGAGCGCGACCGGGGCAATAAATTTTTGTGGCGGCGCGATCGTCGCACCGCAAGTGAAACACACCGAAGCCTAAATCACGCTATCAACATTCCGAATCATAAACAGTATATATAGAACATCTCCGAACTATCACACGGAGCGTTGGCCGCTCCCCGGGCAGAACACCTTGCCCGGCGGGAGATCTCCCATTTTCCTTCCACGGCCGCAGTGGCGACTAACCGACGTGATATGAACACGCAACAACCTTCGGAAACTACAAGCTTCATAATCGTCATAGAATACCCCACCCATTCGCTCCCGAGCAGATATCGTCTGCAGTCTTCATATCCTGCAAGCCATCTAGCTTCACAAGGTTCATCGCAGCACTGGAATAATAATGCTTTCTGTTCCTTCAAGCTACTCTCTGCGCTATACAGTGTTCGGCACGGCTCTGAGCCTTACTGCTCGCCTCTGCTTTTCGGCACTTTCGCAGATTACTTGCCTTCTTCTCGACTCACCGCACTACAAGGCAATCCGCTGGCACTTGCACATTCGTCGGCAACGAGGCTGCACCTCTGTTCTGAGCAGGGAGTTGATGTGGCGGCGCTGTCGTCGCGCCGCAAGCGAAACACACCGAAGCCTAAATCACGCTATCAACATTCCGAATCATAAACAGTATATATAGAACATCTCCGAACTATCACATGGAGTGTTGGCCGCTCCCCGGGCAGAACACCTTGCCCGGCGGGAGAACTCCCCTTTTCCTTCCACGGCTACATATTGAATTGGCGATACAAGTGAAGACTTCGGAGTGAAATAAAGTGAACTAAAGTGTTAAGTTTGATTAATTGTTAGTGTGTATTGAGTTTTAATTGGTGTTCGGTAATTAAAGTGTCAATTTTGGTAATTCAATCGGCAGTTGTTATTGTCACGAACCCTAAGCTCGTAACAGTATGATAATGATTATAGTCAACCAAATCTAAGAAATACCTTTTGACGTTTCACATTAATCATTCCGCAATAACTTTGCATAAGCATACTCATACGATTTACAAAAACTTTATACCTAATCCGAAAAATTATGAAATTATCTATACTTAATTACAACGTGTTTAGTTTTTTATCGCTAATTTAAATTTGAATCTTTCAAAGAAAACAAAATATTAAAAAAATAACCAGTATTAACTGTTTTACTTGACGTCGTTTCAATGATATGTCGCTCGGTGCCTTACCGTAGTGTTTGGATGATTATAATTTATTGATATGCGAATAATCGGCAAAAGTAGAAGTAAAGATTCAGGTAATCGTTAAAAATATTCAAATAATCGAATCATAAATGTTTTAATGTATTACTTGTTTAATTAAATTTTTATTTTTAAAATTCCTTAAATTACATGAATCATGAATAAAACAAGTTTATTTTTTTTTACTTTGTCAACTTAAAGGACAGTGGCGAACTCCCAAATAAATTTTAGTTGACTCTTTTTTCTTGCGTCTACAAATGCAAAATATGAAAAAATATTGTTTAAGATCCTGTACATTTTTTCTTCGGTCATACTACTGCAGGAAGTCAGGAATTAAAGATATTCCAGTTTAAACAAAATACACATCGGACTAGTCTGTATGGTATAAAACGCCTTAACTGGTAAATCGTTACAACAACAACTAGTCAATATAATTTTCATATATGTAGGGTAGTTACTAGCATAGAGGGAATCCTTAAAGAACGCATTAGTATATATAGAAGAGTTTTCTGAATAAAATACACGTCAAACTCGGCTGTATGTTATAAGACCTTTGTCTGTCTTAACTGACGAATCGTAACAACTACAACAACTAGTCAATTAAGTTTTGAATTGTGCATGATTATTTTTCTATAGCCCATAAGTTTGATTAGATAATACATAGTAAATTATTTTATTGATATCTGTAATGGTGACTTAAGTGGACGCTTAATAATTCCATTATTTCCCCATTGTCCTTTGTGTAGGCAAAAAAACTCATATACAAGGTCGCGCTGAAAAAACTACTACGTAATTTCAATCTCCCGCCATTTCGGGAGCTTACTGTGCGTAATATTGTGCTTTTCTGTTTGTCTTATTATTTTGTGACTCTGTTTTAACTTTTTGGACTGTTTCTTCTATATTCGTTGAAGCATGTGCCCATGTCAAAAAGGATGATTGGGCAAAAGTGGTAGAAAAAAGAAAAAAAAAGACTACGGATGACTTTGAGAGACATTAATTTTGACTGCATTATTGAAAATCAAATAATAATTAATCTAAACAACGACAGCTCAAGTAGTTGTACTGAAAGTGATTAAATAAATTTATTTTTAATCTAGTTTCAATCTAAAATTATTATAATTGTGCCTCTAGAAATAAGCAGTTACAACAAATACGAAGAAACTGATAAATCTTTTGTTTTAAATTATCCGTTTTAATTTATTCTGGTATTATCTCAACCAAACTATAAATGATTACTAATTCTAAATAATCGATATCAATTTTTTTAAGAATCGAATATTGTACGTTCCCATTTTTGGTTGGTATGCTTGGTGCAATGAGTCTGACAGCTGTCAAAATGTATTTCTTAGATTTCGTTGACTATAACAATTAAATTGCACATACTAATAAGAATAACTATGACGTTAGGACGTCAAATATCTCAGTCCCAACTGTGACCATGGGTGCTGTAAAGCATCCCCAACGTCGGGAATTAAAAATAAGATAAAATAAGTAAATTAAACGCGATAGAATCCGTATACAGTGGACCCCTGGTAATCCGGCCCCTGCCTAATCCGGCGCCCCCTGTAATCCGATATGGTCTATTATTTATTATTGAATATTTATAAAAGTTATAAATTGTACGCCTTTTGATTCTAATTGAAAATTTTGATTCGGAAAATGTTTGAAAGATCATAATTTTCCTCAAAAAACGTTATTGCTTCTTGATAACGCTCTTAAATTGATGTTTCTTAAATTTATTGATCCATAATTTTTGATTATTTTAGTATGTAAATTTGTTTGTACACAATTATTTCTTACTGTAAAGTTTTTGTATATTGTTTGTAAGTTCTTATCTTTAATGACGTTAATTTTATAATAAAACCTAAGCTCTCTATTGTCATTTTTTACTAAATCTGATATACATAATGAAGTATAATTTGTACTCCAGAGTTCATATATATATATATATATATATATATATATATATATATATATATATATATAAAAAATATATATATATATATATATATATATATATATATATTACATATAGAATCTTATCATTGGATCTGTAATTTGTCGGATTACAAGGTGCTCTTTTGTAAAAAAATCAAACTATAGGGGTCTTAGTCAGTACTCTATAATCCGACAAATTCGATAGTCCTACACTGTTCTGTAAAATATTTGTCGGATTACCGGGGGTCTGTATGTATATAGTTTTATTCAAATTATACATGTGTTTTTGTTATGCTTACACAACCAGTTTCAAACATCGTCCTTCCCATAATTTATCAGTGTATAATAACATGGGTAAACATGTTATTACCTAGTCATTTTGGCTATAATGGTGTTTGGGGTATGATTACTAATCTGTCAACATATTTTAAAGTTGACTTATTTTTTATAATAACCCTTGACTGGGAGACTGTATGGAAGGAGAAGGAGCTTCACGGGAGGTTCTACAAGGCTCTTCATGAGCCTTTCGTAGACAGAGTTGCCTCCCTCCACTGGCGAAGTTTTGGTGACCTCTTCGGGAAAACCGCGGGTTTTGTCTGTGCAATACGGGATCAGGTTGTAAGGACAACTATTGGAGATACATGATAAAGGATGGCACGTTCGACATCTGTCGAGCTCACTTAGGCATATTATCTCCGGTTGTTCGGCACTCTCTAACTCTGAGCACGTGCACAGACACAACCTCGACACAAGGAGCTCGTTCTGTAATACGGTCCGTGGATCGGGAATTGCCTTATTATAAGAACTTGTCAGAAGCCGTGCTCGAAAATGACCGCGCCAGGCTCTTCTACCGGGCCATCATCACATACAACGCTATTCTTGCGAATAAGCTTGATATTATGTTGATAGACCGGGTATAGCCAAGGATATTTTTGGTCGACATTACGATTCCATATGACGAATCTCGTAAAAGAATCAGATAAGAAAACATAATACCTGGACCTGGCTCACGAGGTAACCGACACGTGGGGTGGTCTGCCGACCGAAATTATTCCTATAGTCGTCTCTGCGAATGGGTTAAATCGGTGAGTCGCGATCTGATGAACGGTATGGCGGCGCATAAAATACGAACAAAAAACATTAGTTTTTGTGTATTAGATTATTATTCTTTGCAAATATAACACAATCGATTTTCTTACATTTTTATTTGTTGCAGACCCTGGAAAAGTTCGAATTTGTAAAAGTACTGGGCAAGGGCACATTCGGAAAAGTGGTACTGAGCAGAGAAAAGGGCACGGGCAAGCTCTATGCAATGAAGATCCTAAAGAAGAACCTCATCATTCAGAAGGATGAAGTCGCGCACACAATTACCGAGAACCATGTACTCAAGAAAACCAAGCACCCTTTCCTTACGGTTTGTTTTTTTTTGAAAGAGCCAGTATAGTTATAGCTTTCTTTGCAACAACAAGGCTACAAGAGACCTTAGCCTGTACTATCTATCTCCTATCGGGTATCGTGAGGTACGGTGCGGGCGGTGGATTGTGGTGCTATACAGTGGTGTATAGTGGTGTATAGTGGTGTACAGTGGAAATATCATATGTTATAAACATAATATTATGGTCCTAGTTTGAATGCCGGGTTGGTCCGATATCTAGAGTCAGGAGATATTTTTTAATAGGAGAGGGGGCAAACGAACATGCGGCTCACCTGATGGTAAGTGACTGCCGCCGCCCGTGAACAGCTGCAGCACCAGGGGGATGCCGGTGCGTTGCCGGCCTTTTAGAAAGGAGTAAACTCTTTTCTTGAAAGTATCTAAGTCGTTATCGGTCGTCGATATCGTCGCCGGTGGTAAACTGTTCCACAGAGAGGTCGTACGTGGAAGAAAACTGGAGAAACGTACAGTTGTGGATCGCCAAGCATCCAGATGGTGTGGATGGTATCGGGATTGATTGATTGATAGATTGGCGGTGTTTTCACCCCCGTGCCTAAGAAAACAGTTAAAGTTGTTGGCATCTTTTCGTTCTTGATCTCTCTGATCATATTTGATTGCCATAATCAGGAGTGCAACTATGGTTGCGCTTACTCTAGCGTATGTCCTGTCCTGTATAAATGGCTTCTCTCCGTTAGATTGGCCGCCGTCATATAAAATTGGTCATAAGCAGATTGACAATATATACCATATCGTTGGCATTGTTTGTATTCTAATCTACACAAATAAATATAATTGAAGGGTTTGTTTTTAATGTCAAAATAACAGCTTTTTATTCAATGCATGTGAAAGTGTATGCGGTACCGGTAACAGAAAATTAACATAAAAATTTTTGTCTGTCTGTTTGTTTCGGTTAATCTCTGAATTTGACGCGGCTCTCACTGCTAGCGTCTGATCTTATAAAGAGTAACTTAGACTACTTGTATTTTAAAAAAAGAATTAGGGTAGTGCGAAAAAAAAAACGATTATATTCGAAATTAAAATTGGCTCGACCGATTTTGATGAATTGTTTGTATTAAAACTCAATCGAACCCGGTAGGTGACGCTGCTGTCGAGATTTAGAAATCACCCGTACAAAGCCGGGGTGGATATGGTATAAGGTTGGAAGGCGTTTTCAAGCTACTGGACTGGAAAGGATACGGTATTAACATCAATGGCGAGTACATCACTCACCTTCGATTTGCCGACGATATAGTCCTTATGGCAGAATCGCTGGAGGACCTTAGCACTATGCTCAATGACCTCAATAGTGCCTCCCAACGGATAGGTCTTAAGATGAACATGGACAAAACAAAGATCATGTTTAATGTCCATGTCACACCTATGCCGGTAGTTGTTGGGAGCACTATGCTCGAAGTTGTTGACGAGTACGTTTACCTAGGACAAATAGTCCGACTAGGTAAGTCCAACTTCGACCGAGAGGTCAATCGACGGATTCAACTCAACTGGGCAGCGTTCGGGAAATTACGACACATCTTCTCGTCAGGTATACCTCAATCTCTGAAAACTAAAATGTACAACCAGTGCGTGTTGCCTGTGATGACTTACAGACTTACGGATTTGAGACGTGGTCCTTCACCGCTGGCGGTATGAGGACGCTCAAGGTCGCTCAGCGAGCTATGGAGAGGGCTATGCTCGGAGTTTCTCTGCGTGATAGCCTCAGAAATGAGGATATCCGCAGTAAAACCAGAGTGACCAGAGTGAAGAAAGGTTCTCGAGTGACAGCCTCGTACCGGTAGGCGTAGTGTAGGGCGACCCCCCACTAGATGGAGTGACGACCTGGTAAGACATGCAGGAAGTCGATGGATGCAGGTGGCTCAGGACCGTACTTTGTGGCATTACTTGGGGGAGGCCTATGTTCAGCAGTGGACTTGTGAAGGGCTGTAATGATGATGATGATGATGAAGTGTAATGGTAAGTATACACGACACTAGATACTACACACTTAGTGTATACATCGACTGTCTACGTGTGTCCATTGCGGCGACACTTAAGTTGCAGATGTAGTGACGGTGTCGCTCAGTGCGGCTGTCGCTGCTGTGGAGACAGTTTTTTGTCTCTAGAAAATCGAAAAATCATCCGATTTCCATGAATTTTTTTAAATCTTCTTTTTCATGGCGGACTTATGAAAAAAAATATGGAAAATATCTCACCTGAAGATTTCATATAGTTTTATTAATTTTAAATGTGAGCATAAACACACTTCTTCGAATATAATCGTTCATAATTTTTTTGCAAAGCATTAAACGAAGTTTATATATTTTTTTTGTTAAACTACACAAAAAATCACATTAAAAAATCACAATAATGTTCATTTATTAATTTTTTAGCGAAGTGAGGTCGGATTTTAGGGCATCCTGACTCGGATTAACAAATAACTCGGTTAAAAGGAGATCGGGGAGGAGGCGGGGTCGAGTGAGCGAGCGAATAGAACCCGCCATCTCCTTCGTGGTTATTTTTTTAAACCACTCAGAAGTAGGAGTTCCTACGGCGACCGAGTTTCCCTCGACTGCGCTACGTTGAGTGGCGTGGTGCTTCCCTCCTCCAATTTTCTCCCCGTAGCGCTCCTACTTCTGAGTGGTTTATAAAAAAACAACCACGAAGTAGATGGCGGGGTCAATTCGCTCGCTTCACTAGCTCACTCGACCCCGGCATCTCCTTCTAACCTAACGTGTCCGAGTCGGGATGCTCTAAGTCCCGAGCTCGCTACACTCAATAAAACACTAAAATAAAATTTTTATAAACAAACATTTTTCATTTATTTTTTTTCATTTGCTTGGTTTTTGTGTAGATTATGAAAAAAAATATAACAACTTCATTCGATTATTTGTATAACAAGTTATCTACAATTATACGTGAATGAGTGCATTTTCATGAACGTTTAGAGCTCTAAAACCAATATAAGTTTTCATTTCTTTTTTATTTCTGTAATTTTTTTCGTAAATCCGCATAAAATAGAAGATTCCAAAAAAATTCATCGAAATCGGATGATTTTTCGATTTTCTAGAGCCGAAAAACAAGGGGACCGCAATAGTATAAAATTACCTTCTCTTCTTTTAATCCAATCTTATCCATATCAATGTCTTTTTACGACGACGCATTTTCAGCGGCGCGTCCACTCATGGCGATGGAGCGCACCGCACTGAGTTGCAGTGAGTGTAGCATGTCGCGGCTCGTGCACACAGCCAGTACACTTGACCTGGGATACTAGATGTTTACACCGCTGACGACACAAAAATTGGTATCGCGTGGACGCAATCGACACTAGTGTCAACATTTGTGTCGAGTGTCAGTGTCGTCGCATACATTTAGTATAAGGTGAATAATATGGTTTTGGCGCGCAGTCGCTGCGCTACTCATTCCAGACGTCGGACCGCGTGTGCTTCGTGATGGAGTACGCGAACGGCGGCGAACTGTTCTTCCACCTCTCCCGCGAGCGCAACTTCTCCGAAGAGCGCACGCGGTTCTACGGCGCGGAGATCGTGTCCGCGCTGGGCTACCTGCACTCCGAGGGCATCATCTACCGGGACCTCAAGCTGGAGAACCTGCTACTCGACAAGGACGGCCACATTAAGATCGCAGACTTCGGACTCTGCAAGGTACACTGCTACCATCATAATACGATACACAAAATGAAAAATGATTTATTGTGTGATAATGTTAAAGAAATAACGATGCGTGCCCATAGGATCTAAACATACTTCATGGTTGGTTCCATTACAAGCTGCTTTCAATGAATACTTCCAAAACTTCATACATAATATTTAGTTCCGAAAATAGAAAAATATGTGATCATCCTAAACTTAGCATTAAGTAAAGTGGAACAAGCTACACATGTGTATCAGACATAGACATCTCGGTGATACATTAATGAAACAATCTCTCATGTAACTAAATGGTTAAGTAATAACAATTTAACAATAAACTTAAGGGCCTTAAAATACTAGCGGTTTGCGAACGGCTTCGGGGCGGAGCGGGCGCGCAGAGAATACGTCGCGGACGCGCAATGAATCCGCCGCGCATGCGCAGGGAATACGTCGCGGACGCGCAACGAATCCGCCGCGCATGCGCAGGGAATACGTCGCGGACGCGCAACGTTTTCATCGCGTGTTCGCAGCGGATTTACGACGTATAGTACACTCAGTAACAAATTGGATTCCGACGAGGAAACACTGCTGTTGGTTATGTTACTTCGAAGACGCAGGCAACGCAAACGAAAGCATCGACGGTTTTGGGAGGATCCATTATCAAATAATTGACTGGATGAGAGCGACTACTTTGTGTTGTTTTGCAAACAAATAAAAAATAATCCTAAAAATTTTCGTTCCTACCTGCGAATGTCAAGACCTACAATTTATGAGTTGTTGCATCTGATACAAACTGACTTAAGACATGAAGACACACATTTGAGATTATCAGTGTCACCTGAAGAAAGGCTCGTAATTACTATAAGGTATGTTTTAAACATTAAATACACCGGAGATAATTATTAATACTTGTTTAACATATTTTTCGTTAATCTCTCTAATCAACATAACGGTAGTTTTACAGTTGCGATTCAATTATTTTCACAATTAAAGGCGATACTTCACCAAGATTTAGGAAATTACTATTCTGAAAATAAATCACTATAAATTGTATCTTCAGCGTTATTGTTCTCGTCATAAACACTTGGTGAAGAATTAATTGGTTGCAATGAATTACTTCGGGGTGGCTCTGGGTAAAATATCCTGAATAGTTTGGAGCATAGTTGTTTGACATATGCTTATATTTTTTCAAAAGTCCCATGATCTCCATTTTAGCTTCCATTTTATAGTCTGGATGAATTGATTTTAAATCTTCAACCAGAGACAACGCAAAGTTATATTCGGGTTCACATTCACCACTTTTTTTGTCTTTATTCATCCTCTCTTCCATCCTTTTCAATAAGTTTGTAATGATTTTATCCTCAGCATCATTAGATCTTCTCTTCCTTCTTGTAACATTTCTTGTATCATCATTGCCTATGTTCATTGTATTCTCATCATCTGAAACTGCTGGTGGCGGGTTTTCGAAGGACGAGTCTGCGTAGTAGTATTCAAAAATGAAAGCAAATGTGAATACAAGTATTCTTTAGAAGTGGATGCACCGGAGCCACTCCTGATTTTTTTGTTCCTATCTTTGACGTAGGCGTCGCGGATACCCTTCCACCTCTTTTGCAATGTAACAACTGTAACAAAAAAATATTTCAGATATTTGGCAACTGGGTGCTCTTTAATGGACTTACATTTTTCATATAGAAGAGGATTTTCAACAATACAAAAAATAGTTCGGGAAACATGTCAAGCTATTATTAAAAATTTATTTTATATTTGTATGCCACCCAAGCAAACAAAAGACTGGGAAAACATTAGTAAAGGCTTTCTAGAAAATGCTGATTTCCCTAACTGCATAGGTGCAGTGGACGGCAAACATATTAGGATGATAAAGCCGTGTCATACCGGCTCACTATATTTTAACTACAAAAAGTATTTTTCGATGAATTTGTTGATGCCGGTTCCTATGGTAAAATTTGAGATTCAACTATATTTGACAGAAGCCAATTGAGAAGTGATATGGAAGAAAATCGTTTAAACATTCCGCAACCGAAAAAAACAACAAACAATGAAATAGCGTTGCCCTTTACTTTTATTGGTGACGAAGCATTTCCATTGTCAAAGTACATGCAACGACCTTATGCCGGCAACTGTTTAACGCCTAAAAAAAGAACATAATTATAGATTAAGCCGAGCACGAAGATATATAGAGTGCACTTTTGGAATCATCACTAATAAATGGCGTAGTTTTCATCGACCATTAAATGTTGGAATAGACTTTGTTGAAGAAATTGTCACAACTTGTTGTATATTGCATAATTTTGTACGATCTAAAGTTAAGGTAATAAGACGTCGTAAGAAACTACCACGAATATTTGGACTTTATAACAACCTACACGTTAGTGAAAATGTTTGTAGACTATCAGGTATTACGATAAGAGATAAATTTGCCGACTATTTTGTTTCAAATGACGGGGCATTACGGCGCCCGTATCTACTGTTTCGGTGTATATTCTGGATGTTTCGGTGTAAAAGGTGTATTTAAAGGCGCTGCAAGACGCGATCGGGGCAGTATCGAATTTGGCGAGACAAGCGAAGCTTCGGAGCGAAATAAAGTGAATCAGTGTGATTAATTATTAGTGTTTTAAGTTTTAATTGGTGTTCGGTAATAAAAGTGTAAATTTTGGTAATTCAATCGGCAGTTTTTATTGTCACGAACCTCAAGCTCGTAACAGTATTACATATCAGCAATTGCATACCTTCGGTGGCTTTGAAGAAAGCCGTTTGGGTTTGTTTAAGCGAAAGAAAAAAATATTTACATCCAATACAATACATGAACAAAAGTAAAACATGAACAAAGCACAAACAAACTATGTACAAAATTAAAAAAAAAATATTTACATTCTAGTGGATAAGAGATAAGATAAGATAAGTGGAATCGTCTCGCTTTCTTAAGGAAAGATTTAATTACGTCCACGTATAATCTTGGTGAACGTTTTAATTGTACCAATAACTGTATTTTAGTTGTGATAATTGATAAGTCTGAAATACACTCTTGACCTTGTGTATTATCTCAAAGTTTAAAGATATTACCTTTTCCTCTCCGATTAGCACTTTAACACACTTGAATTCATCACAAGGAACACTATTATTCTCCATTTTTACTAAAAATCTTTAAAAAAGCATAAATTTTGAACTCGCAATTTTGAATCGCTTAAGCTAAACACATAGAGTAAATACACATTGAAATGTGAAATGAACTTGCAAACGTATTCCCCGCGCGCCTCCGCTTTTGACAAATTTATTCCTAAAGCCTGGCTTTAAATCTCTATACTAATTGCTATATATACAATCTTAGTTATATTTCATTATAGAATATTTTGCCATAGGTTAGAAAGAGAGCGATCGTCTTCGTCGAGCCTCGTAAAAAGCCCACAAGAGCGAGGGAGACAACTAATCGCTCTATTAAAACTCATTTTTTATGACAGCAGCAGTATCGCTAAGGCAATACGAGGTCTTCGTCGACATGTGTCGAACAGTGGAGTGCGCGGGAATTTTGAAATAGTTTGAAACAGTTTACTAGTTATTTTATTAGTTGATATTATTGATTGATTCAGTTTGATAATATACACGCAAGGCAAGCCCTGCTTTTCGGGTTCTATGGAGGCTTCGCCACTGAGTGTAAACAACAAATAAACTTGAAATACGATTCCTAACAGAAATGTAATTTGTATTCTACTTAGTTAAACATTTTGTTAGTAAACAAAGTTTTAATTTCAGTGTTTTGTGTTATTATAACTTAAAACATTTTAAATACAAAAGACAAGTATAGGTACGTAATTTACCTAAAAATTACGTACCTATACTTGTCCTACCTAAAAATTGTACGTAAATTTTGTAATAAAATTTCGTAGGTATTAGATAAATTATTACTTAATTTTTTTTGCTATAAGTACCTATCTAACAATAAAAATTAAATAAATTCACGTTTAATGGTTTCTTATATTTACGCGAACACTATACATTGATTAAAACTACTTTTATCGCGTTTTATTTATTTTATTTTTATTAACCGACGTTTCGGGTGCTTTCCAGCACCCATGGTCACGGGGGATTGAGGTGACTGACGTCTCGATTTTAAAATTAACCCGGAGTACCTTCAGCTTTTTAATTATTGTCTTTGGTCCGATCTACGCAGAATGAACATACTGTGTTTTGAAGTCTTGCAGTGGTATGCTTGGGTTTAGTTTTAATTTTATTAATTATAGGGTCCCAAGGTGGTAGTACCCACACTTTCTCTATTGAAATTAGGATGTTTTTTAATTTCAATAGCCTCACGTATCATCCTTGGTAGGAATCGATGTTCTTTCGCGAGGATTTTTTGGTTTTGTCTATCAAATCTGATGTAATGGTTGGGGCCATCTAGGATATGATCGCAAACTGCAGACTTCCCGGAACGTTGATGCTTGATGCTTGATGACAACAAGCTTCGGGTCCCGCGCTTACGTCACAGTGACCGAGTGAAGCCGGCTACAGTCGAGCGTGTGCCTGCTACACTACCGTATGTCAGAGGAGTCACAGACAAGGTTGGCTACATCTTGAAGCGAGCTTCTATTAGAACATTCTACAAGCCGCCGAAGAAGATTAGTCAGTTCTTATTAGCCGTCAAGTGTCATATTCCTCTACAAGATGCAGGAGTGTACAAGCTTGTGATTGTGGTCTCTCATATATAGGGCAAACAAAGAGATCAATTGGAACCCGCGTAAAAGAACACATAGCTGACGTGAAGCATCAACGTTCCGGGAAGTCTGCAGTTTGCGATCATATCCTAGATGGCCTGATGGCATTAAAATAAGCTTGAATCGCCAGCTTATAGTTGATAGGAACACAATGAACTCGCTACGTGATTTACAATCGATGAATGTATTTTTTACTGGCCACACGCATTAGAAGAAATAAAGTTCTTTAAACCGAGGATTATCATAATGATTTCTTATATTTACGCGAACACTACACATTGATTAAAAACTACTTTTACGGATTTTATCGCGTTTATTTTACTTTTAATTACTTTTAATTTTAATTCCCGACGTTTCGGGCGCTTTCCAGCACCCATGGTCACGGGAGACTGAGATGATTGACGTCCCGATGTCATTGTTAAACCCGGAGTACCTTCAGCTTTTTTAATTATTGTGTATGGCCCGATCTATGCAAAATTAACTAACTATGTCCTGAGGTCTTGCAGTGCTATGCTTGGGTTTAGTTTTAATTTTATTGATTATAGGATCCCAAGCAGGTGGTAGTACCCAGCCTCCTTCTCTATTGAAATTAGGATTTTTTTTAATTTCAATAGCCTCACGTATCATCCTTGATAGGAATCGGTGTTCTTTCGCGAGGATTTGTGGTCTATCAAATCTGATGTAATGGTTGGGGCCGTCTAGGATATGACCACAAACTGCAGACTTCCCGGAACGTTGATGCTTTACATCAGCTATATGTTCTTTTACGCGGGTTCTAATTGATCTTTTTGTTAAAAAATAAAAGTAATTAAAAGTAAAATAAACGCGATAAAATCCATAAAAGTAGTTTTTAATCCGAGAATTATCACTTTTTATTAAATACTAGCTGGTGCCCGCGACTTCCTCTGCGCAGGATTAGTATTTCGAGTAGTTTATATTAGCGTGGCGTAGAAAAGAACTAACATTATGACATTAAAATTATCACATAAATAATTTTTGGGTCCAGTAGACCGCACCTCATCCACCGTGCGTCAGACCGCCCGCCCCGCCACCGCACCGTTCGCCCGCCTAACGGTTTTGGCAGCGCACGTCAGAATAGCTCGTAGTTGGTAGATTTTTTCCTACTTACTTGACACGTATCGTCATATTTTGGACAATTCACACAATATCTTTATAAATTGTATCCTACGTATTATTCTGATATATAATCTATATTACTGTAGTTTCATTAAAATCCATACAGTAGTTTACACGTGAAAGAGTAACAAACAACCATCCATCCATACTTACGAACTTTCGCGTTTATAATATCTTATTAATATTATACTGTATTAACTTATACTGTACTATACTTAGGTACTGTAGTATATTTACGTTGAATTTGTAAGTATATGTAAGTATTACTTATCCTATAATCAAATAAACAAAAATAAACAATTGTAATACAACTGAAATTAAAATGAAAAGTATTATATATATTTCTAATTAAATTATACTAACTAAAAATAATAATTATGCCTACCTACTGTGCTAAATAATAAATCTCGTCGAGAATCGAATTAGCTGTAAGAAAGGACGCAAATTGAACATAACCGTCAATGACGTCTGCCCTCCGCGTCTGCCCGCGTTCGGGTCGTGCACGCGTGTAGATATATGCCGTCGCGGAATTTTATTTCGAACTACTTAAGACAAACATTCCCACGGTATATTATCTTCGCACGTCAGGATAGCTCTTAGAGGGCAAGAATTTTTCCGACTTACTTGATACTTACCGTTACATTATTACACAAAATCTTACGCCAAATTACACAAAATCTTTATAAATTGTATTCTATGTATTATCCCATCATCTAAATCCGTTCAGTAGTTTTTACGTGAAAGAGTAACAAACATCCATCCATCCATCCATCCATACTTACAAACTTTCGCGTTTATAATATTAGTAGGATAGTAAAGAGTTCCTTAGAGAAAAAATTGAAGAAATAATCATATTAACTATGGCATTGCAATATGTTTGTGTAAATGTAATGTACGAACATAAAACATTTTACATTATCTGACGTAACGTTTTCTCAAATGAGAGATGTAATTGTGTAGAGTGAATGGCATTGTGCGTGCAGGTGAACATCACGTACGGACGCACGACGAAGACGTTCTGCGGCACGCCGGAGTACCTGGCGCCCGAGGTGCTGGAGGACCTGGACTACGGGCCCGCCGTCGACTGGTGGGGCACCGGCGTCGTGCTCTACGAGATGGCCTGCGGGAGGCTGCCCTTCTACAACCGCGACCACGAGGTGCTGCTTGCTACAATACTAACGTATATATATATATATATATATATATATATATATATATATATATATATATAATATGTAACATAATTAACGCACACCCTCAGACACCCCAATTATTAATATACTATGTTATAATCATAATACATACACTGAATTTTTAGTTAAACATTTTTATGCACTGATTATTTATCGAATTATAGTCAACCAAATCTAAGAAATATCTTTTGACGTTTCACATTAATCATTCCGCAATAACTTTGCACCAGCGTACTCACACGATTTAAAATAACCTTTTACGTAAATCCGAGGAATTATGAAGTTATCTATATTTCATTACATTGAGTATAGTTTTTTTATCACTAATTTAAACTTGAATTTTTCAAACAAAGCAAAATATTAAAAAATAACCGGTATTAACTTTTTTTACTTGACGTCGTGTCAATGATATGTCGCTATGTATATTACCATAGTGTTTGGATGATTAAAATTCATTGTTATGCGAATGATCGGCAAAATATTCAAATAATCGGTAAAAATTTTCAAATAATCGAATCATTAATTTTTTTAATGTATTGTTTGTTTAATTTAATTTTTATTTTTAAAATTCCTTAAATTACATAAATCATGAATGGTGGAGCCAAGTGTTTAAGGCTGCCGAAGTCTAGTTCCCCGGTCGAACCTTAAACCTATTGCGCGAAATATTAATCTAAGTGGACTGTATCTACTAATGCTTCTACACTTGTATATGCGGTACAATGCACTCGCTCTTCCCAAAAAAAAAAAAAAAAAATATTATGCCAAATCGATGAAAGGAATCCTGCTTGATTAGGAAAACACAAAATTGGAGCGGGTTAAAACTACTATATCAAGCAGGAAAATACTATTAGGAAAATGTTGACTCACCGGGATGTTTCTTCTGTGCGGTCGAACACTATAACTGCGACTTCTGGAACACTCCGGAGAGAGGCGGTGCGCGACTATATCTCACACGAGGTGAGGCGGTTTTCCTGGAGCTCGACTGCTTCCAGGCTAAAGCGGTTCTCCTAGTAGTGTGTTTCCAAAACAACGAGCGCGGCGGGAAGAGGCCACGCGTCGGTCGCGCGTGTCTTATATATCCTCGGTTCCGATGATTACGTGATGTTCTAGAATCATCTTCTTTCCCCTCCCACCCCACCACCCCGATGTGTCGATAGGAGGGTACGAATGATATCGTTTTGGAAAGGGATAACCGATTTGGCAGCCTACCGTCAAATAAAATAAATACGAATGGTTTTCCGCGCAACCAATGAATAAAACAAGTTTATTTTTTTACTTTGTCAAAGTAAATTTGTGTAGGCAAAAAAAAACTCATATTTTCACTTTATTAAACTAAGTTTATTTATTATTTATTCCGATGATATCCCGGACGTCAGTCTAAGCGAGATTAGAATGGCTCTCCAGCACCTTAAAAACGGCAGGGCCCCAGGCGAGGATGGAATTACAGCGGAGCTTCTGAAAGCGGGTGGAACACCGGTACTTGAAGTCCTTCAGAAGCTCTTCAATTCCGTCCTCCATGGTGGCACTACTCCAGAGGCGTGGAGCAGAAGTGCGGTGGTCTTGTTCTTTAAGAAAGGCGACAACGCTCTCTTGAAGAACTACAGACCGATTTCCCTTCTGAGCCGCGTCTACGTGCTGTTTTCGAGAGTCATTACGAATCGTCTCGCACGCAGACTCGACGACTTCCAGCCTCCCGAACAAGCCGGTTTCCGAAAAGGCTTCAGTACCATAGACCACATACATACCCTGCGGCAGATTGTACAGAAGACTGAAGAGTACAATTTGCCACTTTGCCTGGCGTATGTGGACTATGAGAAAGCCTTTGATTCCGTCGAAACTTGGGCGGTGCTGCAGTCCCTTCAGCGGTGCCAAGTTGACTGTCGGTATATCGAAGTGATGAAGTGTTTGTACAGTAGGGCTACGATGGCTATCCGAGTACAGAACCAGAGCTCGAAACCTATCCAACTGCAGAGAGGTGTAAGACAGGGTGACGTTATATCCCCGAAACTCTTCACCGCTGCTTTGGAAGACGTTTTCAAGCTACTGGACTGGAAAGGATACGGTATTAACATCAATGGCGAGTACATCACTCACCTTCGATTTGCCGACGATATAGTCCTTATGGCAGAATCGCTGGAGGACTTAAGCACTATGCTCAATGACCTCAATAGTGCCTCCCAACGGATAGGTCTTAAGATGAACATGGACAAAACAAAGATTATGTTTAATGTCCATGTCACACCTATGCCGGTAGTTGTTGGGAGCACTATGCTCGAAGTTGTTGACGAGTACGTTTACCTGGGACAAATATTCCGACTAGGTAAGTCCAACTTCGACCGAGAGGTCAATCGACGGATTCAACTCGGCTGGGCAGCGTTCGGGAAATTACGACATATCTTCTCGTCAGGTATACCTCAATCTCTGAAAACTAAAGTGTACAACCAGTGCGTGTTGCCAGTGATGACTTACGGATCAGAGACGTGGTCCTTCACTGCTGGCCGTATGAGGACGCTCAAGGTCGCTCAGCGAGCTATGGAGAGGGCTATGCTCGGAGTTTCTCTGCGTGATAGACTCAGAAATGAGGATATCCGCAGTAAAACCAGATTGACCGACATAGCCCAACGGATTAGTAAGCTGAAGTGGCAATGGGCCGGCCATATAGCTCGAAGAACCGATAACCGATGGGGAAGAAAGGTTCTCGAGTGGCAGCCTCGTACCGGTAGGCGTAGTGTAGGGCGACCCCCCACTAGATGGAGTGACGACCTGGTAAGATATGCAGGAAGTCGATGGATGCAGGTGGCTCAGGACCGTGCTTTGTGGCATTACTTGGGGGAGGCCTATGTTCAGCAGTGGACTTGTGAAGGGCTGTGATGATGATGATGATGATGATGAAACTAAGTTTGTATAAAAAGGGTCATTTTAATATTAAGGAATTTATAGACGATAATAACCCCTGGGAAGAGTGATCGCTATCAAGCTATTTCTTATTTGTTTTGTGTTGTTAATTGTCACACGCATGACTGTAAGCTGTTTTTTTTTTAAAAAACTAGTCCCGTTGGGTTTCTTGCTGGTTCTTCCCAGGACAAGTTTTTTTTTGCGAACCGGTGGTAAAAAATGTCTTTCAATAAGTATTATTCATAATCTATATTCTATATTAAATAAAAAAGTTTCTGTTTGTTTCTGTTTCGAGAGCTTATAGTTCGTAATTTTGTGTTCTTATTTTGTGACTCGGCTTTAACTTTTTGGACTGTTTCTTCTTTAATAACTTTTGTACGTGGTAGAGCCACTCTACATCTATATTATAGTTGTAGCACGAATGGGTCGGCTCAACCGGGGCAGGACCACGCTCTCACAGAATACCAGCGTAAAATAGCAGCGTAATGCTGCTGTCTTTGGTATGGTGAGTGTAGAGAACCGGAGACCCTTTTTACTGGAAACAAGTCATTCCATCTTAGTCCTCAGAGGTGAGGATAAATGTAGATTAGATCCTCCGAGGTGACAACGCATTTGCATTTTGATTCTTAATTGAGGATAAATATGTATGTTTATGGGCCATAGCATCCACTTACCATCAGGTGGACTGTGTGCTCGTTTGTCACCCAATGCTATAAAAAATATATTCGTTGAAGCATGTGCCCATATCACAAAGGATGATTGGGCAAAAGTGGTATAAAAAAAATTGATTATTGATGACTTTGAAGGAGACATTATTTTTAAAATCCATCAAAAACATAGCTTGTTAAAAACAAGTCTCGCAACTCAGTTCTTCTACCATAAAAAGTTATGAGATCCAAACCAAGTTTAATTTATTCACCCTAGTTAAGGGTCCTTCTGTTTAGTATTACGTAATTAGCTAACGTAACAACATTTTATAGTGACCATATCAATGTTAAAAATCTTTTATGTTTTAAATATATAGATTGACTTGGCCATCGCATGAAAACACAACGTATCTCACAAGTAATACCTATTATATTAAATTAGATCGCTTAGTGCGATTGCGAAGTCAATATATATACTTCGTAGTGGATAAAACCAAAATTCAGGCTTTTAGTTTTATTCACGTCGAAGTTATAGGGGGTCGAAAATGGCCTGAATTGCTTCGAGAAAAGGATGGTACGGCCGTGCCGCTTTTTTGCTCGACTTGGTAATACTTATTATAAACAACATCTCTACTAGTTGTTCTGAAAGTGATTGAATAAATTTATTTTTAATCTAGTTTCAATCTTAAATTCCTACAACTGTTTCTCTAGAAATAAGCAGTAACAACAAATGCGAAGAAACTGATAAATCGTGTGTTCTTGTGTTTTAAATTATCCGTTTTTAATTTATTCTGGTATGATTCAAACTAAACTGTAAATGATTAGTAACTCTAAGTAATCGATATCGATTTTTTTAAGAATCGAATATTGTACGTTCCGATTTTTTGATTGGCGTGCTTGGTGCAATAAGTCTGACAGCTGTCAAAATGTATTTCTTAGATTTGGTTGACTATAGTTATACTAATTCCGGAAGAATGTTGTGGTCACGGTTCAAATTCACGAATGCAAAGACTAACGTGCTTGATATAAAGTTCATTTTTCTTTATTTTTATTGAATGACAGAATTAGTAATAATACAAATAAAACTGCACTCGTTAAAAGTCTTATTGCCTTAAGTTACGGTTAATTTCAGTTTGTTTTGACTGTACAGATTTAGCGTGACTGTAATTTACGTAGTTTTAATTATTTTTGGGATAAAAAATCACCTATATTAAAAATGATAGGAATCGATTCAGTAAACGATTCTGAACAAACTACTTTCTGAAAGTGCGTTAATTATGTTACGTGTTGTATATAGGTCCTTACTCCGGTATGAGACAGTCAAAACTTTCTTTCCCATCGGATTTCAATTCTTCCAGATATATTATCAGCCCACTGCCATCGCTATTACTTGGCTCCTATATGATTTGTTTTTTCTATTTCTATTTTACTTAGTAAAGAGATAGTTTTAAGCCACCTTTCAAAGGCAAAGTTTTATGAAGACGTTTTTCCCCACATCGGCGAAAATAATTCTTAAATTAAAATGTAAGAATTATTAAATTGTCTTTTAAATAATTAAGAATAGATACCACAACCTAAGTACATATTGTGTACCTTTGCGATTAGGAAAGACATTAAGGGAAACATCTTTACGATTTCGTAATTTTTATTCATATTTTTAGACATTACATACACAATATAGAGAATGATGTAATGACTTAATGTAAACCTGACGTGGAAAAACTTGGGGAAGAAAACAAATCTTATTTAGTAAGTATCGTCTGTTTCGTACTCTGGTTCTGTACTCGGACAGCCATGGCTATCTGAGGACAGAGATACTAGTTTTAAAGCAAATACACGGAGTGAAAATTACTATGGCTCGTGGTGAAATTAATTTACAACTGGGTTTCTTTTAAATTTTTTTTCCATAATTTAATAAATATTTTTGGAAGTCTTATATTATTTTGGAATCCTTATTGAATGCGCCAACTTTAAAAGTTACTTGTCAAATTCTAGTATTTTTTTAAGTACAGTCATTTAAAACTGGGCTAAGTATTAATTTTGAATATTTTGTTGTGAAACAAATTACATTTCCTTCTGGACTGGAGCAGTTGGCTGTAAATTTTAAGCAAAAGCGTTATTCATGATTACGTAGTAAAAAGAAAATTAATAAAAATATTAAAATCTGTAGCAACAGGAGTTAAAAGACCATCACAGGGTGTAGATTTTCTCGAATTTTATAGGTGCCTGTAATCCTTAAAATACATAACAAACTTTTTTTTAAATATTTTACTGTTAACTATTGCTGAGTAGGCTTGTTGTCGACTCTTGGGACACCTGTGTGTTTGTCACCTTTTACTGTCGCTTTTTTCTTTCATCCAGTCTCAAATAATAATGAATCGAAAGAAGTTTTCAGTTGAAAGAAAGGCATTTGGCAGGTGCTGTTCTCGCTGATCCTGAGCGAGGAGGTGCGGTTCCCGCGCGCGCTGTCGGTGGAGTGCCGCGCGCTGCTGGCCGGCCTGCTGACCAAGGAACCGGCGCGCCGCCTGGGCGCCGGGCCCGAGGACGCGCGGGACATCATGAACCACTCCTTCTTCGCCTCCATCAACTGGCAGGACCTCGTCGCCAAGAAGGTACCACACACTAATAACGGTATATCGGTATAACGTTATATTATTCGGTTGATTGGAAGTTATTTATTAATTTATTAATGAGAAAATATTTGAAAAAAAATTGTACACGCAAGTATGTTTATTAATTTTAAATTAAATTTATAACGAGCGAACCCGCTTTGGCTTGGCCTGGGTGTTTTCTTATAATGTTGTAGTGTGTGTGTGAGTAGTGTATGCTCATGTAGGTATATATACGATAGCCTAATAGACATTCATGAAGTAATAAATCTACATTCAAGAGCATTAGACGTATCATTTATTCCCCGAACCTCCCAACATTACAATGTGGCGTTATTTAGACTTAAGATAATCATTAAAGTCCTTTGATTTTGTCTTCTCAATATATCTATTTAGTTGAATCTCAAAATTTTTCGGACAAAATTTTGGTCTAGATCACTCCTGATATTACTCTCCTTTTGTTCGTGAAATGTCTTGCCATCAGTCCAGCCATTCCGAACATTAGCTCGGACACACAGACAGACGAATATTTCATAAATGGTTGCTTATGTCTCGATGACATGTAAATATTTTATAAAAAAATATTAACAAACAAAATTAAACAATAATGAAAAAAGCTCTCAGTGGTTAACTAATTGAAATACTGGACTGTTTTTTGTGGTTTATGGCATGGCATGATTATTTTTGATTCTTATGACAAATTGCACTGAAGTTATAGAACGTACGAAAAACGTTTATCGCAACCCATTTTTGTTTTGAGATTGATTGGATTATTTCTTTCACTGACGGGTGTGGGTATAGATAGCAACAGTTTACGAGCGAGAGATGAATAAATGCGCCGTTATTTTTAGTCCCATTTTTTATTAATTGCACTGGTAGTAACTCCATCAACTGGTTTGACCTCTTACCAACAAAGAGCGACACCACTCACCTCCACGCTCACTGCTCACCACTCACCTCCACGCTCACTGCTCACCACTCACCTCCACGCTCACTGCTCACCACTCACCTCCACGCTCACTGCTCACCACTCACGAGTCAACATGAACTCAATTTACTTATTATCAACCATCTCTAAACGTTATTCAGTTCTGCATACTTCTATAAATTCCCTGACGATAATAACCTCCAAACCAAATGTTAACCATGGTAGCCAGTCTTAACGAAGATTAGTCATCTGTGCGAGACAGAAATATAGCGTTCAACTGTATGTACAAATACAGATGCTCTCTATAGTCTCATAATCCGATGGGACAGTAGTCCAACGCATCCGGAGAGTGATCAGGGGCAGGACCAACAACTTTACGTGCTCTCCGAAGCATATGGGTCAAACACCTCTAAAAGTAAAAAAAAGTAAAGTTACAGCCTATATACGTCCCACTGCTGGGAGGCCTTTCTCACCTCATTTCTGAGAGGGTTTTAGAGCAAGGAAGTGTCCGCCACGCTGCCCCAATGCATGCTGGCGAACTTCACATGTCTACGAACATATTTTTTTTCTTATTCCTGACATGCAGGTTTCCTCACGATGTTTTCCTTCGCCGCCGAGCACGTAGTATATCAGTACTGAAAATTGCAATTAACAATTTCATTGCTGCCGGCGGGGATCGAACCCAGGTTACCACAGCTCTAACTAACACACCGCTAACTTCTAGGTTTATACTATGAATTTCTGGAGAGAAAACTCAATATAATGATTTCTTATATTTACGCGAACACTATACATTGATTAAAACTACTTTTACGGATTTTATCGCGTTTTATTTATATTAATTTTATATTACCATATGTCAGAGGAGTCACAGACAAGATTGGCTATATCTTGAAGCGAGCTTCTATTAGAACATTCTACAAGAAGAAGATTAGTCAGTTCTTACCATCCGTCAAGTGTCATATTCCTCTACAAGATGCAGGAGTGTACAAGCTTGATTGTGATTGTGGTCTCTCATATATAGGGCAAACAAAGAGATCAATTAGAACTCGCGTAAAAGAACACATAGCTGACGTGAAGCATCAACGTTCCGGGAAGTCTGCAGTTTGCAGTCATATCCTAGACGGCCCCAACCATTACATCAGATTTGATAGACCACAAATCCTCGCGAAAGAACATCGATTCCTACCAAGGATGATACGTGAGGCTATTGAAATTAAAAAACATCCTAATTTCAATAGAGAAGGAGGCTGGGTACTACCACCTGCTTGGGATCCTATAATTAATAAAATTAAAACTAAACCCAAGCATACCACTGCAAGACTTCAAAACACAGTTAGTTCATTCTGCGTAGATCGGACCAAAGACAATAATTAAAAAGCTGAAGGTACTCCGGGTTAACTTTGACATCGGGACGTCAGTCACCTCAGTCCCCCGTGACCATGGGTGCTGGAAAGCACCCGAAACGTCGGGTATTAAAATTAATATAAATAAAACGCGATAAAATCCGTAAAAGTAGTTTTAATCAAGAAAACTCAATAACTGATTAAGGCTCAAAAAATTTAAACCAGGCACCTTATGATCGGCAGTCAAACTTACGATCAACGAGGCACTCAAGGTTTTAACTATAACTGCCACTCAGTGCAAGCGTGCGTCCACTGTAGTGGCCAGCTGGATAGACATGGAGTTAATTACAGGCTGTGAGATATTCAATCTTAGTCCCCTGAGGTAAAGTTGCCAACATTTTGTACGAAAAGTATATTATATTATATGGATCTAAAGGAGGCGAGAGACGTGTGTCAGAATCAAGTCAAATGGAAGTCCGTAGTCTTTGCCTATGATTTATGAGACGTTTTTAACAGTATGGTTGGCAAACCTACTTGAGGCGACAAGGCACTGTAGCTTTTTCCAATTTTTGTGCGCAGATCCCGCCTCCGTTTAAGCCGCAAGTGGAATCTGAAACTGACACGCGGTACTTCGACTCTGAGTTCACAGGCGAGTCCGTGGAGCTGACGCCGCCAGAAAACGAACCCGGTCTCGCTCGCATACAGGAGGAGCACTTCCCGCAGTTCTCGTATCAGGTGGGTTTTTGATGTGGAATAAGGGTAACAAACGAGCACAAAGTCCACTTGATGGTAAGTGGATGCTGTGGCCCACAAACATGTACATATATCCTTGGTTAAAAATCAAAGTACAGATGTTTTGTCATCTCTGATATAAACAAAATTGATTGTCTGTCTGTGTGTGATATCGAAATAACTGTCCTGTTATTGAGAGGGGGAGCAGTTTGCATGTCATTAACACATAAATAACTGTCCTATTATTGAGAGGGGAGCAGTTTGCATGTCATTAACACATAAATAACTGTCCTGTTATTGAGAGGGGGAGCAGTTTGCATGTCATTAACACATAAATAACTGTCCTGTTATTGAGAGGGGGGAGCAGTTTGCATGTCATTGACACATAAATAACTGTCCTGTTATTGAGAGGGGGAGCAGTTTGCATGTCATTAACACATAAATAACTGTCCTGTTATTGAGAGGGCGAGCAGTTTGCATGTCATTAACACATAAATAACTGTCCTGTTATTGAGATGGGGAGCAGTTTGCATGTCATTAACACATAAATAAATGTCCTGTTATTGAGAGGGGGGAGCAGTTTGCATGTCATTAACACATAAATAACTGTCCTGTTATTGAGAGGGGGAGCAGTTTGCATGTCATTAACACATAAATAACTGTCCTGTTATTGAGAGGGGGGAGCAGTTTGCATGTCATTAACACATAAATAACTGTCCTGTTATTGAGAGGGGGAGCAGTTTGCATGTCATTAACACATAAATAACTGTCCTGTTATTGAGAGGGGGGAGCAGTTTTCATGTCATTAACACATAAATAACTGTCCTGTTTTGACAGGGGGAGCAGTTTTCATGTCATTAACACATAAATAACTGTCCTGTTTTGACAGGGGGAGCAGTTTTCATGTCATTAACACATAAATAACTGTCCTGTTCAATAACAGGAAAACTGCTCCCCTCTCAATAACGGGGAGCAGTTTGCATGTCATTAACACAAATAACTGTCCTGTTATTGAGAGGGGGTGCAGTTTGCATGTCATTAACACATAAATAATCACTTTTGTCTGTGACGCTGCCGTCGCCCGGCTGTCTGTGTGCCTTCGGGATGGCTGAACCAATTTTGATGGAACTTGACGAACAGACAGACAACAGTGCCAGGAGTGGTATAGGCTATAATTTATTCCAAAGTCTTGGAGAATTTTATTTTGAGAAATCGAAAAATCGATAAAATAAATAGTCTTTGATAATTACCTTAAATCGCCGCATTATAAAGCTAAAGCGGGTTGACACGTAGGTAAAAAGTTATAAGATCTGTGAAATAAATTATTCTAATTCTGATTGTGTCCTTTGCAGGACATCTGCTCGTCGGCGCACTCGGCGCTGTCTCACCTTTCGCATCACTCCGCGCTAGCTGACCGTCGCCACTAGCTGCCATTAGTTGCCACTGGCTGCCATCAATCGCCACTGGCCGTCACTAGCTATCAGTGGCATCAACTGTCACTACACGCGCGGCTCGCATGCGTGTACAACGTTACACTCGCACGAAATAAATGACGCATAACAGTCCGCGTTCCATAGTGCCGCCTTACTGCCTACTGCTTACCGTTCCACACGGACATTACGGGCGAAGCATCCATCATTTTGATGCTGCATATTAAAATGACATTTTTATAGAGATTTTTCAAGAATGGAAACGAAGTTAAAGTTGTTGACGACACTTCAATATTGAAACGAGAAGTAAGGGAATGCGCCCTTTGACTATTCTTTGAACCAATAGAAGTCAAAACGCAAGCTGCATCGATGCTACGAAACTGTTGCTTATATGATTGTGCTAAGTTCAGTTAAAACCGAAGTCGAACAGTGCGAGTGATGCGATAGAGTCGCAAGGCGAGCCGACACGCGCGACGGACTTGTTCAGGCAACTCATGCAGTTATTTAGACAGCATACACTATACGTTAGCGGCTACGGGACACGAGATCTGACCCATTTAAGTAATGTGCACTACGTACCAGAACAGACACTGCGGACAATATCAGTGCAGTGCGGGTGCGTGCTGGGAGACGGCACCAGTTTACGGCACACACTAAGTTACAGCGCGCGGGCTCGTAACAACTAAATCTTGGCCTCTTTTCTAGTACGTAGTGCACGTTGCTTCAATGGATCTGGCCGCACTTTGTGCGCTACTATGTATGGACGGGACGGTTATCTGATATTGTTTGATGTGTGCCGATAATGATTCTGGACGCCCCCCGCTGTAACTACTAAACTCCAGCTCTGCTCCAAATTGAGAAGTTGAAATGTGAAATTTATATCATGTCACCTGCAGACCGTTTTTCCAAATTTAAAGGTGCACGCGTCTTAAATTGATTTAAATTAGAGAAACGATCTTTACGTTATACGACATAAAGGTTACAATTCTATATCTCACTTTGGAATCGTGTTATTAGAGGTTATTTTTCTACATTTAATGGTGCATCGTTGAAAGTGCGTTTTAAATTGATTTAAACTAGAGAAATGATATCTTTATGTAATACGACATAAAGTTTACAATCCAATGCCTCGCTTTTGGAGTCGAGATGGTGTTTTAGAAATAAGAATGTAGCATCGTACGGAAAGTACGAGTGAGTATTCACTGCCCCAGAACTATAAATAGCTAACACGTAAATATTTAACGCTAAAGCGACTGCAAATTGATAAATAAAATACATAATACGATTGTTTTCAATTTGTAATTGCTAGTACTATACTAGTACTATACTAGTACTATTACTATACTAATACTAGATAGTACTAGCGCTACTACCGACCGACGAGCGGTTCGCAGCCGCGCTCTTTCCTTTTGTATATATTAAATTTAGGGTAAAGCTGTGCACTTGTTTTACTTCCTCTTCCTTATCACTTACACGAAATACAAAAATCAAAGAAGAGACCTTCAAAAACTACTACTACTATACTATATATTTATAACCTACTCTTTCAAAGGCCGGCAACGCATCTTTTATATGTGGTAGAGCCACGCTACAGTTATATTATAGTGTAACACGAATGAGTCGGCTCGATCAAGGCAGGACCACGCTCTCTTAATTCCAGCGCCAAATAGTAGCTTAAGGCTGCTGTATTTCGTAAGGTAAATGCGGACAACCGGACCCTTTTTTTTTGGAAACTTGGCGTTCCATGTTAATCCTCAGGGGTGATAGCGCATCTGTAGTTTGATTCTTAATTGAGGATAAATGTAGTCTGTGAGCCACAGCGTCCACTTACCAACATGGGCGGTGTGCTCGTGTTATTCTATATAATGCTTATTCTATAATAATAACTGCAATTCCCCTGGTGTTGCAGTTATTCATGAGTGACGGCTGTCGTTTACCGTGCAGGTGAACCGCACGCCCGTTTGTTTCCTTTTACACAAAAAATAAACAGACAGTGTAATGAGGGCAGGCGCCAACCCGTGATACAGTGACATGTGTCTGAATGCTTACTACTCGTCGGCCTCGCTGGCGGCGCAAGACGCAACAGAGCGAAACTAATTATTGGAAGAGAGAAGCAACATGTTCCTGGCTACACAACAATTAATAAAAAAAACTGCCGCATCCTAAATTTCTTTCAGTTTCATTAAATCTGCGGGCTGTTCTTCAGATTCCTCACTGCAAAGTGAGCCTGTTGTATTGTTCTCGACAGCTGTGCGTGTTTAAGCTCACTGTTTATGAAACAGGTCTGCCCAGTAATGCGTACTGTTTTCTGTGGTCTGAACTGAAAGTTAAAAATAATATTTTATAGTATTATTTAACTGGATGTATTCCACATAATGATTTATTAAATTTACGCGGACACTACACATTGAATAAAACTATTATTTACGGATTCGGGTGCTTTACAGCACCCGTGGTCACGGGAGGGGGGGCTGTAAAGCACCCGGAACGTGGAATAATAAAAATAAATTAAAGTTGAATTAAACGCGATAAAATCCGTAAATAATAGTTTTCTTCAATGAATGTATTCCAGCAAATGTACCTGAAATAAACTCAAAGTCAAACATTTCATTGCATTCACGTGGTTACGTAAACAGTTCTTATGTTGGATGTATTAGAGCCAGACATGAGCCCTGGTAGGGCGGAGCAATAGCAATAGCAATATTATATTATGTTCTACGTCAATTTCATTTAATTAATTTAGAAAAATGAGTTTAATTTTATTCATTTGAACTAAACATTACTTTTAGGTTTAATAATCATTTGCAATATTTACTCGTACAACGATCTTAAAGAGGTATACATAATCAAATTAAACGGTTATTTATTTTTCTATGAGTTAAAAGAAAATGTATGAAGAATCGTTACCTGTATCCGAAGCAAAAAATTTACTAAATTTGGTTAAAAAATACCAGAAGAATTGGAGCCCTGGTATAAAAATCTGAAGACGGTTTGTGCTCCTGAAGATGCCGAAGACGAGGACGAGATGATGTCTTGCGAGAAAACTATTACGTATTTTCCTTTATTCGTATTTTTCTTGATAATATTTTAAATGCGTATACTGTAATATTTTATCTACAAGATTAAACTGTTTAAACTTAAGAAAGCTTAAATTAAATAAAATAAATATCGCCTATTTTTTTAATGCCGTAATTCCCAAAAAATTACAGGTAGAAACAGATAACTGAGAAAAAATGATCCTATTGTCTTAATTGGAACATTATTTCAATTTATTTTAACATCAACTTATTTAATACGAGACGGTGAACTGTTCCTAATATAGTATGTAAAAATTTATTATTATAGGAAAGAGTTCGCTAGATGCCTTAGGTATTGTTTGTGTTCTTTTCAAGTCTTTCGATTGTGTTCATCATGAAATATTAATCAGGAAACTAAAACAATACGGTGTCAAAAATACTACACTTAAACTTATTATTTCATATTTAAATAACAACTCAAAAAGTTGTTATCAATGGTAAAAGTTCCTCTGGATCAGTAGTATCAATGGGCGACTTACTTTATGTTGTAGGGGACAATCACGATATAGTATTATTTGCTGATGATACCTTTGTAATTCAAACTCAATCTACAGTCAATTAGTTTGACAATGTGAATAATGCTCTATCAAGCTAGTACATTAGTTTAACGCTAATAATTTACTCTTAAATGACAACAAGACAAAATGTATTAAATTTACAATATCTAATGTTAAACATTCAATTATCAATGTGCTCATAAATGGGGAAGGGTTGAGTCTAGTGAATACCACTGTTTTTTTGGTATTACTATTGACGCGAAGTTTCAATGGAGGCCCCATACATCTAAATTAGCAGGCAGACTTAGCTCCGCAGCATATGCTGTAAGAAAGGTTAGAAGACTAACCAATGTTGAGACAGCTACATTAGTTTATTTCAGTTACTTTCATAGCGTAATGACTTAGGAATCTTACTATGGGATAATGCGACTGATATTGAAGTCATATTTGTTTTGCAAAAGAGAGCCGTACGGGCGATTTACAACTTAAATTGTAAAGAGTCCTTTAACTTTGGCATCACAATATATTTATGAAAATGTATTTACATAAAAACATAAATAACTTTCATAAGAATAAAGATATTCATACTTTAAACACTAGAAACAAACATAAGATTGCAATACCAGTTACTAGACTCCACAGAATTATTAATTCATTTATGGGGCAATGTATTATACGCTTTTACAACAAAATCCCAGAATATGTACAATATTTGTCATTAAACAAGTTTAAATGTTTTATTAAAGAAAAATTGTACAAGAAGAGTTATTATAATATAAATGAATAAATAAATGAAAATAACCCCTGGGAATGAGGTGATTGCCACGATACTGGTTTTATAAAAATTCATTCAAACATTGTAACAAATGTTATCGTCTTCCGGTCCTGGGTTCACGAGCTCGTCGCATAATTAAGTTTATTTTAATTTCCCAGAGAATTACAAAACCTTTATTAGATTAATAACCTATTTTTTATAATACTTAATAAATTAATGATGATTAAATAATAACTGCCGCCTTCCGCTTGTCAGCTTCCGGCGAACCTAAGATTAATGTTATTAAATGTGTATAAACAATTTTTATTATTGTTTAGTCGTTGCTATATTGATTGACAGTTATTTTATAATTTATGATGCAATATTTATAGTAATAAGAATATCAATGTTCATTATTAGGATATTATTAAAATTGTATAAAAGGCCGCTGTGACGATAGATTAGTCAGTTGTTTTGTAACCGCCAGTAAGTAAAGGTGTTAAGGGTAACTGTCAGTTTTGTGAAAGTGATTACAAAGTATATAGATACCAAGTAAAAATATCGTTTATCTGCGGTTAGTCGTACCTAGTCTATCCGTCATCCACATTTCAGAAGTGGGATCATGTCAGGCCCATATATTCAAGGTATTGGCGCAAAGAAACGAAGGTA